CGTACTAAAAATAAATCTGTTTTGAAACCTTGCCAGCACATCGTGTTAAAAGTACTGACCTTACCGTTATTTTTCATCGTCTGAAATATTTATTGTTCCTTGTAAAAAATATTCTATTTCCTGGGTTTATAGGGCACTAGAAAAATAGTACAACGAAATCCGTGCGTTTCATCTTTGCCAATTCTATGCGAGGTTCCTCTTAAAAATTTCATAAATGTTAGTTACCTAAAAAACTTGATGCAATCGATGTTAGAAATCACATCTGTGCAGGCAATTTCTAGAGTATCACATATACAGGGTGTCCCATACCTAAATGGATATAGTGAAATGGTAGTATGGACCGAGACCTTTTCATATCTAAAAATAAAAAATATTTTAAATAGTTTTTCGGAATACATCAATCTAATAACGCCAAACCTTTATTACCACATATCCTATATACTATTGAAGCGATGAAGTTGAAATTTTCCACAATGAAAAAGTTACCTAAGAGTAACGTAAAACTAGACGGATGGTTAAAAAATGAAGAGTCGACCTTTTTTTTCACTTTTTTGTTTTTTAAGTTGAATATTGGAATATTTGACTATTTACCAAAAAGCCAATGAATAATGCCAATTAATTAGCGCTTGTTTCTCGTTTTTTAGTTAAACATTATATTTATTCAAAAGTCTTTTTACAGTTTACGGGACATAAAACTCAAATTTTGAAGGGTTGTCAACTTTGTTTCATCAACATTTTACAAAATAATGCTTCAAATTGAACTAACTCTAGGGCCGGATTAATTTTTTGTATTTCTTTGTATCTCATCAAAGTAACGCACTGTAAGTTATACTCTGAATTCATTATTTCACAGAAAAAAGCACAAAACATCATAAATAGGGAAAATTAATGTCATGCACCCTATTGCATACTTTTCGGATTTTTTTTAATGATTTAATTCTACCAACTGACATTGTGAGTTGCTTAAAAGGGAAACGGCATTTAATATGCAATTCCAATATATTTGACCTGGCTAACTTGAAATTAAGCTAAAAATTCACAAAAATGTAGTAGACTTAACAGTTAATTGTGTGATGTGCCTTGTGTGCATTATCTAAGTTAAAAAAGTAGGATTGTTTCTGAAGGAGAGAAAAGACTATGAAAATCAATAAGGCCAAAAAGGCGTCCGTCCTACAATTGCAGGAACAACTGACGATACGGTCCTAAATATCGCTTCTCTTTAAGGGTCGTATCGTCAGTCATTCCTACAATTGTAGGTCGCCTTTATGGCCTCCTTGATTTTCATAGCCTTCTACTGTTCCGTGTCAGCGCTCTATTTTAAGGTTATGTTACAAATATCTATTTGCATCAAATTGTTCATGCTTTTGATTTATATCATGTGTTATAGCAACCTGAAATTTCCCACAATTGAAAAAGAAAACATAGTCTCACAATGGGAGAGTGCTGACGCTGACACGGAACAGTTGAAATCTAGAAATACCCCAGCCTTTCGGAAGGAGAGAAAAGACTATGAAAATCAAGGAGGTCATAAAGGTGCCCTACAACTGTAGGAACGACTGACGATACGGCCCTAAAGCACGACCAATGTTGTATAACATCAGTTAGTAGAATTAAATCATTACAAAAATACTGAATGAACTAAATAGGGTGCACAACATTAATGCTTTTTTATTTATTTCAGGTATTGCTGTTTTTCTGCAGGGCGTCGCATCAAATTAAATGAATATCTTTCTCAAGGTTCCGTTAAAGAATACGCGTTCTGTAATCAATTTATGTTGTACGACCACACCAAATTATTTAATAAATAGGAGTGTGATAAAATTACTGAAATAATTTGACTGACCTACAGCAGACCTAGTATCAGTTATGTTTTTAGCAATGCTTGTATTGTGATGCGTCTGCTTTTCCACAGATTTGAATCCGCGCATGTAGCCTAACGGTCATGGCTCACGACGTTTTAAAACACCTCTGACTTTTCAAAACCCTTTAGTCCAACTAACATGCGCCAGAGATTGTAAACAATTTTTTTGTTTTGTTTATTATTGTAGTTAAAAATATATCAAATATTGTTGATAAATTGTTTATAATATATAGTTTCAAATTATCTAAGTTGTTTTTGTTCAAGTTCTTTTGAATAAATAAAAATTAGTTCACAAATACAACATTCTATAAATATTTTTCGTTGGTCCAACTGATATGCGACTGGGCTCGTAATATGGGGACGGTCACTCTTTTGGAGAAATGGTAAACTATCAAGTTCGGATATTTCCTGGATATACTGTTGTGCCCTCACACCTTCTCTGAGGGAAACGAGAGGTGAATAGCACCATATGTAATGGCGTCTCAAACCATGACTTCTACAGTATGATATAACCGGCTTTCAACTGAAAGCTTTAGATCCTGTCCTATTCGATACCGCTTCTGGCTCGTGCTTTTCATCATGCATTCCAACAGAGCTGAGACTGAGAAAATTGGGATGATGAATGGCGTAATATTGTTTTTGTGATGAATCTTGGTTCGCTAGTGACAAATGATGGGTAGGCATGAGTCGGTTGCCGAGAATAACGTCAAGTTTTCAGTTGAACCACCATCAAATAAAGGGTCTGGCGCAAAAACCGGTCATCTCCATTATTTTTAATTTTACAGTAACAACGAAAAGTTTTTTTTGTAAAGTAAGAAAGCGGTCCGAGAGTAAGTTGTTTTAAGGTATGAAGAGGGATAAACATTTTTGCATAAAAAAATAAGTATGTATTGGTATTTTTTCCGTCCAGTACGATACAAAAAAATGGAGGTGGCTGTTTTTTGCGCCAAAATGAAGCAGCTGACTTATTTCATACAAAAAAACTCTTGTATTACTGAATATAACATAACAGAAGAAATATTAATTCAAAACATTTCAACTTCCTCGTCTTCGTCTTCACTGTCCTGTTGAACTATTTCCGCCAACAGCTTGAAATACTGTATCATAGCACCACTGGTCATTTTTGGGTACATGTTTTTCAGCTAAAAACATTTGCTAGCTTTTTTGTTTATTAGACAGAGTGTAAGCCTAGTACAGTTTGACTGATGGTAACGAATATGTGGTGGACGATTTTTTTCAAACAACATTCCGAAAACAAGGTTATACCGGTAGATACACTACATTCTATAAAGTAAGGCTTTTCATATTTGGAAATATGGCACTTTGATATGGCAAACTTCTCTTTTTTACTGTTTGTAACATTTTTTTAAAACGATTAATGAAGTGCTGGGTGAAGTTGAGGATCATATCCTGAATCACTTGTACGACTGTGAATTTCTATGAAGTATTTTTTATCAAGTCTTTCCGACCCTTGGGCGTACAAACTACTTTTTTATGTTTTCCTTTTTCTATCAGGCCAAAAAAGATCTGTCTCAAGGTAAAAAGCTGTGCCCTGGCTCGAGAAATTGATGAACTATTATCCTTAAATTTCTTTCAGTAGTACATGTTAACAAACGTATGCAAAAACTGTACGAGCACCGAGTTTTTATTTTGTACAAAACAAATATCTGAAAAAAGGCTGCAGTTCGCGATTAGTGTGCGGAAGAAATGTGTTAACGTAGTGATACAAAAAGCTGCCCTTTTTAGCTGTGATTTCGTCATACATATAAAATCGGCACATTCCCTTTTTAGGGGAATGAACACAAAAATCATAAACTAACAACTGCCTTTTATAAAATACGTCTCTAGGCGGAGTATGTGGTAAAGGCGTGATCTTCTGGTAGTCAGAGTACAAGACCTCAACAGATTATTCATTTCTGTCGTGAGTGGACTTTTCTTTCAACGATGTATAATAAGCTTCTGAATTTGCAAGATGGAGGGATTTTTCCAGTTGCAGTTTGGCCTTTGCTTCTTTGCTGGACGCAGCACAACATTTACACATTCACACAGTTGCGAGAACTGCTCCATCTATGATTTGGAGCAAGAACTTGACAGTTTCGGAGCTGACAGGCACGGATCTTGAAAAGTGACATCTCGATTTTTTTGACATTGTTTTGGTTTTTTGTGACATTATGTAGATCTTTCTACAAGATTTTAACTTAGCACTAAGCTGATGGACACGTTGTGAACTCGTTTTGTAGTTGTACGTGTTGCCTAAACGTCATGATGCTTCAGTTATCAATGTTTGGCTCTGATGTGATGTAAAATCTGCTTCAGAACTGACTTTACTGGAAGTCTAAGCTGTAAGTTGTATACTATAGCCAGAAGGAAACGACAATGCATAGGTGCATAGTGAGGATTTGTGTGCTAATTAGATGTGTTAATGATAATTCCATTGGATTCTTGTCTCAAATATACTTACTTGCGATTCAAAGCTAGAAATTAGTTGCGCATCCACTTTTCTTATCCATTCTGGAAGTTACATATGCAAATTTGCTGAATTTCAAGAATGAGTGCTGAATTTCAAGAATGAGAGTAATAAATAATTATATTCACTGTACACTGTCGCATTACAAGTCATATACTTGCCAACAGTAATTACGCAAAGCGCGAGCGCGGTGGTGATTTCCCATAATTCTTCTCAAAGTTTTTGAAAACACAAAACATCGTAATTTATAACTTTGAACATACCCGTCGGGTACAGCTAATAGATATACTCCTTTGGCAGCATATTCAGTAAGTAATGATTTTTTTCTCACACAGCATATATCATAAATTCTATACACATGCAGACCTCAGACTAAAAATATAAATAGACTTACCATTCTTACGGCACTGTAATGCATGAAGACAAACAAACCCAATTCAAAACAAAAACAAACAATAAGCTGTGTATGTGCAGACCACAGCTGATTCCACCAGTGGCGTAGGTGCTTTTTTGTAATGGTGTTCTGGTTAATACACCCAGTATCACCTTCCATGGCAGTGAAAAGAATAAACACAGAGAAGTAAACAAGGTTTTATTATTGGAACTTAATTATCAGGTTTATTGTTTCATAATACCTAGTACAAAGGTATATAAACAAGAGAGAGAGTATTATGTAAATAATAAGAATTGAGTAGAAAATTTCCTGTCCAGAGTATGAATACAAAAAAAATAGTAAGAAAATGATAGTAACCATGATCAAAAGTTGTATATAAAAAAATATATAAACAAACAGAAAAAGAATAAATAATTGACGCATCAATTTAAATATTCTGTCTTAATATTGAAGGCACAAAAAACTATTCATTCCTTAAGAAAGATCTTAGCTTAAATAGTTCCCTAAAGTATTTAAAAAGTTTGTATCATAAATTCAACTCATTCGTTTTATTTAGGCAAGCAAAGACACAGATTTGGTTCAAACGATCTGACAGAATATGCTCTCTCAATGGATTGTATAATGGACATTCCAAGAGGAGATGGCCTAAAGATTCAGTCTTTCGAGTATTGCATATTGTACAATAGTCTGTTAACCCTGTATGAAATATTGTTTAGGAAGATTTTGAGACTACATTTATTGTGGAGCTTAAGTTGGATTATAAATCGTTTTATACATAACGGTATACTTGGGGATTTAGCGTACTCTGTAGACTCTGATAGCCATTTTAGCCATTTAGCGACGCAGTTCTGCACTATATTTTTCTTTTTTTCGGCCTCTTTGAATTTTGTTGAAAATGTCTTCTGCAATGGAGCCCTGAGAAATGAGGATTTTTAACAACAATCAAAAAATAAACATGTAATCACTTACATCAAGCATGTGTTGAGCATTCTCCGATATCATATTTATTCGCTTCAAATGGTTTGTCAATGCTTGAAGAGACCAAATTTTGTTTGCTTGTCTTCTTGTTTTGGCTCGTAAACAGTCAATTGTCTTTCTTTGTTTCTTATACGTGTTTTGAATGACTTTCCAGCAAATTGGCCTTTTAAGTGGGTTTTCCAAATCAGTATAACGTATATCGCCGAAGTATCGAATAGGTTTTGTTTTCATTCTGAAACATTCAAAGCTTAAATGCTACTATAAAGCAAACGCCAAATCTACATAAACGTCACCTTTTATCAAATCTTTACTTCAGGTTTAATTACCACCAGACTATACTTGAAGAATCAAAATAAAAGTTTAATACCTTTTCCGTGGAGGTTCACCATCACTATCATTTTCTTTGAGGTTATCTTCCTCATTGTCAGCTTTTGCTTCTATGAATGTGTTTAAAATCCTGAAATAATGAAAATACAATGCACTAAAATAAAGACTGATATTAGCTGGCTGAACTTGAAAATAAAAGTAGATAGGTACGTACATCATATCTAATTCTGAGGCATGAGTACGGGACTGTGGTGTCACTGGGATACTTCCAGTACGTGATTGTGAAGCACTTAATGTAGCGGATTCAGATAATGACTGGGTGCCTGACAGCAAAGCTGATAGGGTGATACTATCTGTTGTTCGATCATGTTCAGGAAAACTGTATTCACATACCATTTCTGGTGACTTTATTTGTTCTCTGTAAACACTTCAATAGTCAAACTTCTAGATACTTTGGAGATTATTTAATTTCATACCTAGGTAGATCCCTGCTTTCCAGTTGTTCGCTATTTGAATGGCTTAGGGCAATTTCCTGGGCAAGATTGATTTCATTCTCCTCATCACTGGAATCACTTTAAAATAGATAAGTAAAAGTATAGCAACAAAATATTCCATTTCATCCAATAGCTAAATATAATTAAGGACTTACTCTGTTTGCCTCAAAGGCTCTACTGATGGAATTGCTGAATGGTTTAGTTGAGTTCTTTTGCCGTCTATTAAATCACTTTTGTGAAAATGATTTGCGCAAATAAAGGCATGAAGTGGTAAATCATTTATCTCAATATTGAGGATAGTGCACCATTATTCTTGTTTTTTCTTATCACTAGGAAGCCTGAAAGATCAAAAACGTGTCTAACAGAAGAGTATTTTTTGAAAATCACCACACATAAAGTGTAAAAACAACCAATAACTATAAAATGTCTATTTCTTAATACTAAAAATCACAACGCATCCCCATGCGCTACGCCCTTGTCCTCCCCTAACCTCTAACTCACCTGTCGAAGGTTGCCTCAGTTTTTTCACTGCTAACTCCACAAAGAATGCACTTCCGACGTCCCATTGTCTTTGAAAATTGTCTATCAATGATAACAATGCTATAATTGCCGCTAAAACAACCTGAAAACAATTTTGAATACTCGCAACAAATTCACTGTGCACAACAACAAACACCAGATGTTTGTAAATTCTGTGTACGCATCCACCACTTGCCGTTGAACACCGTTGCCACGTTCGGCAAAAAGTCGGTAGAAATGTGCTACTTTCGAATGAGAGCAAGTTTCGTCCAAGGTGGAACAAATCCAGTCAAACAACTGACTGGGCAAAATATTATATGAACACCCAACATGAACCTGCATCCGTTTTGAATTGAATTTACGGCGTGTCGGCCACCACTGTGACCGTTTTTGCGAGTATAAACAAATATGAAAAGAAAAAATAAATTTTTAAAATTTAAAATGACGTTGACAACTGCCTAGGAGCAGTTGTTTGACCGACCCACGATCAACCGGAGCGTCCACACCTTATTTAAGTCCACCTTCATTTCGGGCGGAGTGCACACCAATATCTCATTCCATTTTCAATAGATTTTTCAGTATGGAGAAGTGGCAGCGTCGCATATATTTGTTTGCCGTAAATACAGTTATGTTGACGACGATATTTTGTAGGGAATTATTTGTCTATTTATATTTTTAGTCTGAGCATGCAGACCAATACACATGATCATCCGGATGCGATTTTGCTATTCAAACAACTTTCTGACCGGTTTTTGCACCAAACCCTTCAAATACAGTGCTAAGTTTCTTCTAGTTTCCATTAGGGAAAGCAAGTTTCTAACCAGATAATGCCCGTCCCCAGATTGCTAGAGCTAGAATAGACTACCTCAGTAACGCTCCTATCAGCCTCCTTCCTAAACTTCGAAACGTAACGCCTACTGAACATATGTGGGAAATGATGGTAATAAAAGTGAGCTCTTCACTTCATCCTCCACAGACACTAACCTCAGAAAGACATAAATTACCTTATTAAAAGCGTGATACGGTCACTGGACGAATGTATACGGCATTGGAGTGGACCAGCGCATCATTAGGGAAATCCTGGGATAGAGCAAAATGTAAATACCTCTTGCTCGTATCTAACTGTAGACACAATTTCATTCAAATAAAATATTTTTCACTGGATGTTCTGTTTGCTTTGTCATTGACTATATCTCATGATTTACCACATGACTGTGCGTGGCAGTTCAATTTCAAAGGTAAACGCGTATGTTTATGGTCAAAAGCCATCATTTGGCTTGAAATTTGGAATGGACTCGTCATCTACGAGCCCCTTCCCACTTCAGTTGGCCCAACTATTGAAATCTTAGTTTTTTTCTTATCAAACACAAATAATAAAAATGTAGCAGGGTGTTATAGGTTTAAAATATTAACAATGAATATTTTGATAATATATAGTAGAAAACACCAACTTTATCACTCCCTAATCAAATTTGCAGCATCAAAATAACACATGTTGCAATTACAGCATATCAACCTATTTTCATTTCAATGAAAAATAAGTCTGGATGGAAGAAAATAATGTACCACTTTTGAAATGGGTTTCTAGCAATCCAGATCTGTCACCTATTGAAACTTTGTGGCACAAGATGAAAAAGAAAAGCTTCAAGAAATATGGGATTGTTTTACACCATATTTTTGCCTAAACTTGGTTAACACTATGCCCCAAAGAATTTCAGCCGTAATAAAAAATAAAGGTGATGTTACCCAATGGCAATCTTTCAATTGTTGCTTTGTTAACTTCGCGCATTTATTCGCACATTGTTTATTTGTTCAGATGTTCTATTAGTTATAGGTCCAAGTGATTTCAAATATGTATTTTTTACGACTAGAGTGTATCTAAAATGTTCTTGAGAAAATAAATTGTTTTAGAAGTAAATAGTTTCGTCATGTTTAGTTTATAAAGGCATATTTTGGTACAAATCTTGAAGTAGGCCAACTGAAGTGGGAAGGGGCTCGTAGTAGCAATAATTCCATTTGCCGCGGCATGTTGCGCCGCGCTTCAGTCAGCCACCATAAGCACCCGCCAATAAAGACGTAATAACCCCTAAAGACATGTTTGGCTATTTTCGGCCCTGTCCGGCCTGTCCGATTTTTGGTAGACTTTTTAGTCTACGCGATATTCGCATAATCGCGCAGTGCCTGCAATGCAAGTCTGAGGGTGCGACCATGTTTGTACCGCGTTCCGTATTTAATAATAATAATAATGAATGTCTTTATTAATACACAGACATCAGTGAGACGAAGTTTAGCCGAATGGCTACTGTTACACTTTACCTCTCTGTGTGCGAAAAAGTAACATAGTTAAACTCGATACATAAACAAACAATAATAATAATAAAAAAGAAGATCAAGTAAATAAAGTGGATAAGTAAAAGATAAAAAAAATTAACAAATGCACAGTTGAAACAGCTTAAATCAGAGTACTGAACTATCCCATCAGCTGTTTCTTATCGATTCTCCTAAAAGGGACTATTGGTTTACTGCGATACATTTTATCTGTAGAATTGTATAACTTGACAGCATGAAATGTGAAGCTTTTCTGGAAAAGGGCTTTGAAGTGGACTGGCATCGCAAAATTTAGGTTGTGACAGATTTTTCTGATTAATATTACCTCTTGGTACCAGCTTTTCTAAAATGTACTATGGCTTTTCCGTGCGAACTACTTTATGAATAAAGACCTTCATAGCTTTAACAAACTGTGATTCTATCTTTAACTAATTTAAAACTTCAATCTTTGAATAGGCATGACTATATTTACGAAGTCTAAACACAAACCTGCAGCTGTTGTTTTGAATTGCTTGTAACCAAACCGATCCGACGGATCCAAATAAGAATAGAATAAAATCAGAGAATATTACAACAGCAGTTGTTTTGAATTGCTTGTAACCAAACCGATCCGACGGATCCAAATAAGAATAGAATAAAATCAGAGAATATTGCAAAGATGACAAGATCAAGCTTTCAACTAATTTTTTCCTAGTCTTAAAGTTTAAAATGAACCGGTTGGAGTTTAAAAGTTTTAATTTGGCATTCGTTTTTTGAGACAACCTATTTTTTATTATTGTAGTTATGTCAATTTCGAAAATGGGAATCGAGATCGATATAGAGCCAACGCCTCTTCTCCCTCTCCGTTCTTTGATAATACCACCCTCCCTCCTCCCTCCTCCCTCCTCAGTCTTTAATTATCAACAAGGCATTCTCGTTCTGACTTCTTCACGTTTTTCGGATTATCCGCAGAAAAGAACGTATGTGTAGCGTTGCAACTTTCACTGGACCTCGCTTCTACATTTCATCAAAGTTTATTCAAAGCAAAAGATAAAGCATATGCGATTTTGATATGCCCCAAGGACAACTGCTTTAGAATTATCCGCAGTTGTCTAGATTGTTCGGTATATTCATTAATTTCTGCTATTGTTTATTATACGAGGAACATCCAATTCAGCGTTTCGTGTTCAGCTTCTATATCAGTACCATAAGTAAGCAACACAATAAACAAAACATCATTTGTTTGTTATTCTTGATGTCCTGAGTCACCGTTACATAACATGATACATCATTTCTTGGAATTCTTGGCGGGTTGACGAGTAGAAGATATAAGCGAGTTGTCGTTAAAACTGGCATCGCATTACATGCCAAATATGAGGAATGGTAGTATGGACAATTTTTTGTGCTATCTCCTGATATTACAGACCAAAAAATAAATCAAGTTCTTGAAAATACCAATAATAAATAGATGTACTATGGTCCACCAGCGTTAGGGCATGGTACAAAATGTTTTGCCCTGGGCTCACACCACTATACCCTTACTGTGTAAGACTTAAAAACATCAAAACCTCTGAACCCGGTCCACTGTCAAAAACTCAAACATGTACCCATCAACTTTGAATGTTCTCCATTATAAGAATTTTTAACAATAAAAAACTAAGAAAATAAGTGGCATACTTGTGGGGAATAAAGTGTATACAAAAATAATATGAAAAGGTCATATAAACTTGGGCCCCAAAATGTCCCCTTACCAAGATACAGGGTGCAAAAGCTATAATTTTGGAATCGAAAAAATATATCTTCAGGTGGTATTGAGATATTGTAATTTTGTACATATACGTATAGTATTGTCAATATAGCCAATAGACGAGCCCCTTCCCACTTCAGTTGGCCTACTTCAAGATTTGTACCAAAATATGCCTTTATAAACTAAACATGACGAAACTATTTACTTCTAAATTAATTTATTTTCTCAAAAACATTTTGGATACACTCTAGTCGTAAAAAATACATATTTGAAATCACTTAGACCTATAACTAATAGAACATCTGAACAAATAAACAATGTGCGAATAAATGCGCGAAGTTAACAAAGCAACAATTGAAAGATTACCATTGTGTAACATCACCTTTATTTTTTATTACGGTTGATATTCTTTGGGGCATAGTGGTAACCAATTTTTGGCAAAAATTTGGTGTAAAACAATCCCATATTTCTTGAAGCTTTTGTCTCAGTTCGGTTATTGTACGAGCAGGACCTTTTTCAGCTCATGCCAGAAAGTTTCAATAGGTGACAGATCTGGACTGCTAGAAACCCATTTCAAAAGTGGTACATTATTTTCTTCCATCCATTTTATAGCCTTTTTTGAGGTATGGCACGCTGCACCATCTTGCTGAAACACAAAATCTTGGCCGGATGTCAAACATTCTTCCATCACTGGTAAAAGCGATTCTTCTAAAATTGCCAAGTATTTGTTTGTATCCACCTTTCCATCAATAAAATGAAGTTTTCCTACTCCTTTTGATGACATACTGCCCCAGACCATAATGGATGCTGGAAATTTCACTTTTCTCTTCAGACAGTCAACATTGAATGCTTCGTTTTTTTGCGAATAACTCCACTGCGACTGTCACCAACACAAACCTCGAATCGGGCCTCATCACTCCATTGTATTGCACACCATTGTTGAGGTGTCAATTATCTATGTTCTTTAGCCCATCTAAGCCGATTTTTCTTTTGCAGTAGAGTTAATAGTGGCTTTTCTTTGGCCTATAAACAAGTTGTGCAACTTTAGGGTTTTTACTTCACTTTTGTATAAGAAAACTTACCTTGCAAGTGCTAAATCCCAGTTTGTGGGCCTCTCTATGAGTTGTGGACCTCGAAATTCTCATTCCAACAGCGTCACTCCACAGAGCACTTTATTGTAAATAATTGGCACGCCTGTTTTTCACGATTATTCTTCTTAATGCTCTTCGGTCGGCATTTGTGATATTACTTTTTTTCACATAGCGTGGCTTAATATTAACTGAACCAGTTATGTTATATATTCTAACAATATTT